TTTTTTTTTACTGATTTTTGAAATTTTCTCCTTCGCTTTGTAGCTGAAAGGAGGCAGGCAGCCCTTGAATGTATTGGAGCTTTCGCACGAGGCGATTTTTTAGGCAACTTTTGCGTTCGACTTACGCAGGGTTCCACGAAAAAAAAAATTGAATGGCTAAATATATCTAAATATAAAAAAATATTTAAATATTTGCCATAAAAAGGCATTTGGGTTTTTCAACTTTGCATTCTACTCTTGGTTGAACGGTAGTTCAACTAATCGCTTTCAACAAAGTTGGTCGCCAGCCAACATCTAGCCATTCAACTTTTTTTTTCGTGGAACCCTGCGTGAGTTGGACGCAAAATCGCCTCGTGCGAACGCCTTTTATGTATAAAACTGGCTACACACGACGAACATCTGCGCGCACATGCGCGGCTTGCGGTGCATGTTCGTTGTTTGTAGCGTGGTTGGCGAGCATCGCATTGGAAACAAAAACAACAACCTCATTTTATGTTGATGCTTGTAGTGTGCACATCGCGGATAAATGCATCCAAGCCATGTGCGTTAATTGATTTTTTGATAAATGAGGCTCAATTACTATATGTATATGTACGTACATACATACAAGTAAAATATAAATAAATTTAAGTAACACATACATAAAAAAACCTAAGTCATAAGTGTTTCAATTGCATCATCCACGTCTTTCCTTTCCATGTTTGCGCTTTGAGTACAAAATCACTTATGAACCGTTCACCGTCTGTAGCAAACGACAGCGAGCATGTTGGCGCACATGTGCGCGCAGATGTTCGTCGTGTGTAGCCAGTTTAAGTGAAAACTATAGATAGTGCTTACTGGCCGTCTCCACAGGATAAAATTTATTGCTGCCCAGCTGTCATTTTGGTCGCTAGATATAAGTTATATCAGTGGCAATATTTGTGTGGGCTTTTTATATCTTGATAGGCATTTGTAAGATAGCTTTGAAAATGTATTTTTGCCGGATTTAATTACTTAAAATATTTAGAAAATAGGCTATTTTACATCCAATTCCTGCAAATGAAAATGTAGCTGTCAAACTAGATGGCAAGATATAAGCTCTGATATATATTGCTCTTGAAGAGCAATGAGCGGTCTCCATTGGCTATTTATATTCTAACATATGTATCAAGATATAAACTTTATCCTGTGGAGACGGGCAGTTAGAAAACCATCGATACTATTGATACTGGCATCGATAGTTTTCCAGCTTTATGAGGAGCCTATAGTCGGAGGAGAAAGGCCATTGAACTCTTTGGTCTTTCCCAACGGTTTTCTTTTTACCCTCCATTCTTTGCTCTCTCATGTTATTTTTTTTTTTTTGTACCAGGCCCAAATTCAAATTTCTTTAAATTTGTATAGATTTTCTGGGGCAAACCGTAGTTCAATATGTATCAATTGAAGAAAAATCTAATGTCTATTCTCGTCAAAAAATCGAGTCGGAAGGGCTCGATTAATCGATCTTCGATTTAGTCGATTTAAAAACCGTAATACCATGTTCGGACCGACAACGAAAACTCTTTGAAAACGAGTTTTGGGATTGTGGGCTGTAAGATGTTCGCACCGGCTGTTGGAGTTTTCGTTGGCATTTCTTTCATCCTTTGTTTACAGTTTTGTTACGAAAAAACAAAATCAAAATCTTTGTCTTTCATTTACTTATCATTAGCAACTGACAATAAATCCCAACTAGCGTATTAAAGATGCTAAGATATGACTTCCGCTTCGATAAATATATGTAAAATACTAGTGAATACACCGATTGGAATGAGTGGAACGTGAGTTTTCAAGTAGCTTTCAGCGAAAGCTGGTTTTCGTTTGACAGCTTCTAGATGGACGAAAACACAAGTTTTAGGTCGAAAACCAGTTTTCGCTGAGAACCACTTGAAAACTCACGTTCCACTCATTCCAAACGGTGTCTGCTTAAGTTTTTTTCGATTATTTATCGAAGCGGAAATCATATTTTATTATCCTTAATTTGCCATTTCGGATTGATTGTCAATTTTCTGGCCAATGTAAAATAAGAATGGAAGAAAAAGGTTGTTAGTGAAAAGAAAAGTATTTTGATTTTGGTTTTGTGTAGAAAAACTGTAAGCACAGGATATAAGAAATGTCAACAAAAGCACTAACAGTTGGTGGGAACATCCATCAGCCCACAATCCCAAAACTCGTTTTAAAAGTGTTTTCGTTGTCGGTCAGCAACGTTTAACGTAAAGGGCGTGTGTGAATCGGTAACAAAGTTCTATGGGGAAAGCTGTTGAATAATATCTTTACTATTGTGCGACAGTTTTGCCAATCTGCTGTGTGAAATGAAATCTTTTTTGACAGCAGTAAATTTTTTATAACCGCAGATTTATGCGGAATAAAATATTACAAATTGAAGAGAAATTAATATCTTAAGATTATTACTGTGTGGCTAATGCAACGTTTTTGCTGCATTTAAAATGCAACATTTAGCACTTTCGAGCATATTTTTTCGAAGAGCGTTCATGCTATCGCATTTAACAAATGTACATTTACGCGAGTTCGAAATCGTATGCTTTTGACAAACAGGCGTGTTCCAGTCGCTTAGTCAGATCCGTATCTATCACGATAAATTCGCACAGAGAAGATAATGTGCAAGAAACCCTACTGAAAAAGGAAAAAGGAATTTTAATAAAAAAATTCAATACAAAAACTTTAATTGTTTTAACCATAACAGAAAATTTGTTTGTGTGTATGTTCATTTGTTGGTGCGGTCAATTGAAATTTCCTCAACTAAATAGGAAAAAAAAAACAGAGTTGATCACAAATTGAGCCAGATTTCTGTCAGTATCACATCGATGTAGTATTTGCGCAACTTTTCTTCTTCCAAATAATGTAAAATAATAAACGAAATCTCGATCGGCGATCACTGAAACGCAGCTAGCAACTGTGTACGCGAAAAAGCAATGTTGCCACTTTTTCTCATTAAACCATGTTCGAATCGTGGAAATTATTGAAGATCACAGGGTTGCTTTTCGCATTTCGACTTTTAATGCAGAAATGGAGCTGCATGTAGTCATGGTGAAATAAAAATA